AACAAAATTCTATTCAGTTCAACAAGTATTTGTTAATTTAGGCACCAGTTATTTTAGATACCAGTTTAGAATACAGAGTTCTTTACAAAATCTTATGAAGGAAAATAACAGATGATTATGATGGTTCATAAAAGAAATGGTGGAGAGGAAGAGTTTATAGAAAGCTAGGCAAGAGAGAAAATCAGCCCAAGAACACTTAATGATAAAATTGGTTGGAAAAGAACCATGACAAAGGGAAAAGATCAGTCCTGATTTCTATAACAAACAATTCTTTCCATCAGAATTCTCAGCACAATCCCAGATACAGTGCATGAGGAAATAGAAATGACACTAAAAGCAAAGAAAGACGCCACAAGCGAACAAAAACAAAGACGGAACAAGCAGCTGACCAGAACAAGTACCCATGGAGGAAGGCCTCACTGGAAGCAAAACGATGTCAAGGATGCTGAGGAAACCATTCTCTGGCTATCCATGAAAAAGGAGGGAATGAATGTTAAATCCTAGGGGAAATTTACTGTAAAAAGATTGAGAACATATCAGTAACCACACGCCTTCTTTCTGACTTCCACATGATCTTTATGGAAATAGATCACATGTTTATCAAGGGCATCCTTGACAAAAAATACGGGAGAGCAGTGAGTAAGTTTTCACAGAGGATATTCTAGACCAGACCACATCTTTACAGCTACACAATTGCCTGAAAGGTACAAAGAACAGAAAATTCCACTGTGCTCATTTTTTGGAGACTAAGTAAAAAACTCAGTAGAGCTTAATTCTACCTTAAAGGCTAGTATTCTCTGACAAAGGGTCTCCCATGCACAGGTTAAAAACATACACCCTTCCTTAAAAGATAAGTGGCTTTGTTTGGCAATCCCTTGAGTATCCACATCGAGTGAGACATGAGTCAGTGAGACATGCCCGCCAAAGGTCTTGGCCGCTGTGGAGGGCATCTAGCACAGTGCAAATGAAAAGACAGCCTATATATAGATGGTGAGGTTTTCCAAAGGTTCTTATCTGTGGATTTCTGAAACATGGTAGAGTGTCCTAAATGAGGTCCACAACCATTCCAAAGTAATTGGTCTGTTTGTCCACATGGACAATAACAGCAACAGCGAAAGTGGAAGAAGAATCCCTACGATTGGCATTTGGGTGGATAATTGTAAGGATTGTTGTTCTTCTTGTTTTTTAGCCGTGTCTGACTCTTGGTGACCCATTTGGGGTTTTCTTGGCAGAGGTACTGGAGTGGTTTGCTATTTCCTTCTACAGGTCATTTTACAGGTGAAGAAACTGAGGCAAACGGGGTTAAATGACTTGCCCAGAGTCACACAGCTAGGAAGTATTACGTGTCTGAGGCTGGATTTGAACTCAGGTCCTCCTGACTCCAGGGCCCCGTCTATATTGCGTTAAGGTTTGTGAAACACTTTACATATATTATCCCATTTGATCCTCACAACAGCCTTAGGAGGTAGCCTGATACATTATCTTCGTTTTACAGAAGAGGACATTGAGGCTGAGGAAGGTTAAATGAATTGCCCAGAGTTGTACTGGTAGTGTCTGGGGCAGGATTTGAGCTGGGGTTTCTTGACCCCAGGTCCAGTGCTGCTTGCACCCACTAAACCACCTAGCTATCTAACAGGCCATCATGAAACATGCCCCTGCTCCTACTTCCCTCTGTAGTCCTATTGGTCCTCAGTTCCTCTCAAATCGATGAAAAGAGAAGGGCGAAGTAGAGAAAAAGGTGAAGACGAGGGGCAATAAATAGACTTACTTTCCTTGTTGTGGCATGGTGTAACTACTTCTACCCTGCAAGGACAGAAAAAAAAAAGAACAATACCATTAAGTTGGGAGCCTGTGGAGGGTCCCTGGGGTTCTTTATCTCCGTCCCACCCTCAGTTCATTACCCGTCTTTGAGCAAAAGTCGGGGCGGGGGGGGAGGGGGGGAGGTTGTCTTCTAGGAAACTTCGTGCAGAGATGAGAAAGCCTAAGTTCGGCAGAGGATCAGGACTTACATTCCCAAACATCCTGGGGCATCAGGACAGAGCTTCTTGCTCTGCTCCCCTTCTACATTCTCTACCAGGCTACAAAACACACACACACACACACACACACACACACACACACACACACACACACACACACACACATGCTCCAGATTCTTTTCCTAGGCTCTCCACAAGCTTCATCCCCCTCGCTGTCTTGACTAGACACAGGCCTAAGACAGTTGCCTTGGGAATTCACCCCCAAAAAGGAAGTAAAGATGGAGAGGCAACAGGGTAAGGCTCTCAAGGCTGTAATCTGCTCATGGGAAATGCCCCCAGGGTTTGGTCTGTGGGGGTAGGGGTTGAAGGAGATTGTCTTCCCTCAATGTCTTCCCCATCCCCATTCCCATGGGCCAGGAAGTCCTCTGTTTAATATAACCTCAATCTTTCTTGCTGCTAAACTGGTAAATCTTCGATCTCCCTCCCTCCCCCTTTCCCCACCAGTAAACCAGGGGAGCTGGACAGCAATCTTGAGAACTCATTTAATCCATGCCCCTGCCTCAAGACAGTATCACCTTCATCCCCTCCTGAAGAGCTGTAATCCCACTATTTTCCTCCCAAACCTGCCAGGACAGAGGACCGGCCTCTCCACCCCTTCTCCAATTCTCTTAAGCTTTGCTGTGAAACCACACCCCTAAAACTCTAAGCCCAAAGCCCCACCACCACCACCTCCAGTCTCTCCCTAGGAGAAGCCCCCCTTTTCTTGACCTGACTTCACTCTGTGCAGATCATTACCCCCTCAAAATCATAACTCCTCAGAACCGGGATATTTATGGCCTAATTCTCCCTCAATCATCTCTTTCATGCCTGAACAATTCCCATACCCCATTTTTTCTATAGCTCTAGGGGGCCTGAAGACTGGAAATTCTGGTTACCCACCCTTTAATAATAATAACACCTCACACTTGTAGAAACTTCATGCTTTCCAAACCACTGTCATGTCTTTTATCTCATCTAATCCTTATGATAACCCTATGTGGTAAGTAGATTACTAGCCCCATTTTACAGATAGCAACACAGAGGTTAAGTTTTTCAATCAGTGAAAGGTCTAGAACCCAAACTTCCTGTTTCCTAGGCAATTATCTTTCCACTCTGCCTCATAATTGTCTGAATCCTCTCAATTTTTGTATACTTGGCTAAGAATCATTTTCTTTTCATTATCTTTTTTTTTAAACCACCCACATCTGGTACACATAAAGGAGAGATAGCTATAGTTTGCTTCTGTTTTCCACTCCCTTTCCCCCATGTACAAGGCACACACACAGGTCCTACAAGAAATATCTAAGTCAAACAGCCCTCACTCACCCTTCCACCCCTGGCTTACCCCTGTAGGTCTGGGCCTACTGCCAGCTCAGTTCCAGTCTCCCACTTCTGTGTTCTCAGTTCGCATAGACAGGAACTCTGGAGTTATAGCTGGTACCCCCAGAATTGGGTCTTCCATAGAGAGAGCTCCCTCCCTGGTGTGCCTTGGGCTATGGAGCTTAGGCTCAGGAAGCCAGAGCAGGATGGGTCCTTCCTGTCTCCTGTCCCCTTTCTACACTTGCCCAAGGTCCAGTGCCTCTTAGACACACAAAGAGGAGGGAGGCCCTGTCCTAGCTGCCTCTCTGGGGGAGAGGTCAGTGGGATAGAGTATTAATAGCTGCTCATGAGACACATTAACAAACCAGGCAGCCAAAGTAACATGGCTCCAGGACCTAGCCCTAGCTGTTCCACTTTCTCCCCGAAGAGGGGGTCCAGGTACTGTGAAAACAAAATACCAAGGGAAACAGTTTTCCTCACCTCCCTTTGTGAGGTCAGTATCATAGCTGAGGTCACAAAATCACAGCATTTGAGCCATCAAGAACCTCAGAGGTCAAGTCACACAGAAACAGAAATACCCTCTATAAATTTCTCTACAGCCTGTTTGAAAAAGACCTCCAGTCTTCTGGAGACAGTCCATTTCACTTTTGGATAAGCTCTAAGTACTAGGATAATTAGTTAGTTCTAATTATTTGGGGGCAACCAGGTGGTGCAGTACAATAGAGAGCCCAGCCTAGGATCAGGAAGACTCATTTTCCTGAGTGCAAATCCGGTCTCATACACTTACTAGCTGTGTGATCCTGGGCAAGTCACTTAACCCTATTTGCCTCAGTTTCCTCATCTATAAAATGAGCTAGAGAAGGAAATAGGAAACTACTCCAGTATCTTTGCTAAGAAAACTCCAAATGGTGTCATGAAGAGTCAGACACAATTGAAACAAATGAACAGCAGCAATAAAGTATCAGGAATTTCTTTTTTCTTACATTAAGCCGAAATCTACCTCTTTGTAATTTTTACCTTTTTCCTGGGACCAATAAATCTCATCAATCAACACGCTATTTTATTAAGTGCCTACTATAGGCTAGTACCCGGGGACTCAGGCACACACGAAAAAAGAAACCACTTCCTGACTTCAAGGAGCTAATTGAGAGAAAACGATACAGATATTTATGTAAATGTATATGCATATATGTATATGTATACACCTGCACAACATATATACAGTGTATATATGTGTGTATGTATATGTATACAGTATATGTGTGTATGTATATGTATACAGTATATGTGTTTATGTATACATATACATACACAGTATATACATGCAGTATATGTGTGTGTTTATACATATACATATACAGTACATATGTGCGTGTGTGCATGTATACATATACATGTACAATATATATGCATGTACATTTACATAAATATCTTCATTGTTTCCTCCCAATTAGGTGCTTGAAGTCAGGAAATGTTTTATATATATATAAAATGCAAAGTAATTTAGGGAGAAGATGGGAAAAGGTACTAGGAGCTACAGGAAAGGTCTCATGTAGCAGGTGACATCTCAGTTGGCTTCGAAGGAAGCTAGAGGTTTTAAAAGGCCAAGGTGAAGAGGGAGTGTCTTCCAGGCCTGGGGAACATCCAATGGGAAGGCACATGATGTCATATGTGAGAAACAGCAGCAAGGTGGCCAGTTTGGCTAGGCCAGAGAGCACATGAAAGGGAATAAGGCGGACCACGCTTGTGAAATAAATGCTACACACAGAAGTTTGTATTTGATCCTAGAGGTTATAGAGAGCCACTGGAGTTTACTGAACAATGAGTTGGACCTGTGCATTATGAATATCACTTTGAAGCAATGTGGAGGCTAAATAGGAGGAGGTGGGGGGTTAGAGAAATGAGGCAGGGACACGAATCAGGGACGTCACTTAATCTCTGCCTGCCTTGTTTCTGCACCTATAAAAACAAGGATAATAACAGCTCTCCAAGTTGTTGTGAGGATAAAATAAGATATTTATGAAATACATAAAATTTATAAAGTATTTATAAAATGTTTAAAGAGCTATAAAAATACTAGATATTATATATTATATATATATATATATATATATATATATATATATATATATATTATATATAAATGTCAGCTAGGGTGGTGGCCATGTGATAGGAAAGAAGAGGATGGATCCCTAGCATGTTGTTGAGGTAGAACCGACAAGGATTGAAAGCCCAAAGAAATCGAGGATGCCTCCAAGGCTGCAAACATGGGTGACTGGAAGTAGAATGTGCCCTCTACAGAACAGGGGAAGCTCAGGAGAAAGTTAGGTAGAGAGGGAAAGATCATGAGTTCTGCTTTGGGCACATTAAAGGTGAGATGCCTATGGGACATCCAGTTGGAAATAGTGAACTGGCGCTTAGGAGAGAGGGCCATGGCAGGACGTATAGATCTGGGAGTCAACTGTGTAGAGATAATAATTGAACTCACGGGAGATGATGAGGTTAATGAGAGAGGAAGAGGAGAAAGAGAAGAGGATGCAGGGCAAAGCCTTTGGGAACTTCTACAATTGTTGTTTGTCCTTCATTCTCGGAGAGGACCATGACATCAGGGAAATGATGCCATGACATGCAAGTGATCTGGATTTAAGAGAGGGAGGGCTGTGAGACTAGGACAAAAGAAACTGTCCTTAGATGTGGAAAGAAGAAGATATGGCTTGACCCCAATGAGACCAATGAAATTGCCAATTCTAATTCCTGTCAGCAGATCTGGAAGCTGATTAAAGATGGGCTGATCATCCCGGAAACCCGTTACTGTGCACTCTCGTGCCAGATGCCGGAAGAATACTCTGGCTCGACAGAAGGGCAGGCACATGGGCACTGGTAAGAGAAAGGGTACTGCCAATGCTCATATGCCTGAGAAGGTGACCTGGATGAGGCAAATGAGGATTCTGCACCGTCTGCTCCAAAGATATCGTGAATCCAAAAAGATTGACTGCCATATGTACCACAGCCTGTACTTGAAGGTGAAAGGAAATGTGTTCAAGAATAAGTGGATCCTCATGGACCACATTCATAAACTGAAGGCAGACAAGGCCTGGAAGAAGCTTTTGGCTGACCAGGCTGAAGCTTGCCAGTCCAAGACTAAGGAAGCACGAAAGCATCAGGAAGAGCTTCTGCAGGCTAAGGAAGAGGAGATCATCAAGACTTTGTTCAAGGAGGAGGAGACTAAGAAATGATCCTCCCCTATCTCCTTCGTACATAGTACCCTTCTATTTGGCTTCTGCAATAAATCTTGACAAATTGTCAGCCCTGGAAAAAAAAGGTGGCACAGCAGGCAGGTAGCAGAACCAAGAGAAAGCCGTGGAATAAAGCCCGAGAGAGGAGAGTTTAATAATAATAGCTAGTATTTAGGTAGCATTTTAAGGTTTGCAAAGCACTTTACAAATATTATCTCATTTAGTCCAACAGCCCTTCGAGATAGATGCTATTACTATGTCCATTTTACACATGAGGAAACTGAGGCAAATAGATAGTAAGTGACTTGTCCAGAGTCCACAGCTAATATGTATCAGAGGCTGGATTTGAACTCAGGACTTCCTGACTCCAAATACAATGCCATCTTGCTGCCTCTGACTGCATTAACTGCTATAAAAAGGTCAAGAAGAATGGGGCAGGTAAGTGGCACAGTGGATAGAGCACTAACCCGGGAGTCAGGAGGACTTGAGTTCAAATCCTCAGACACTTGACACTTACTAGCTGTGTGATCCTGAGCAAGTCACTTAATCCTATTGTCTAGCAAAACACACACACACACACACACACACACACAAGGTCAAAAAGGATGAAAATTGAGAAAAGACCATTAGATTTGTCAGTTATGAGATAGAAAGACAGAAAGATCAGTGCCATTATATCTTTTCTAGTACCAAGGAACTATAAAATAAAGTGAAGCCTATCACAGTTACAAAATAGTTAAACAAATTGTGGAAATGAATTAGTGAAATATTATTGCTCTTTAAAAACACACAACAACAACAGTAAAAAACAACCCAACATGAAGAATTCAGAGACCCATGGGAAGACTGATGGAAAAGGAAGTAAATAGAACCAGGAAAACAACATACACAATGACTACAACAGTGTAAATTGAGAGGGAAAAAAAGCTTGAAACGGAACACAATGTAATCATAATGACCAAGATTGTCCTTGATGATGAGATAAGAAAATGTATCTCAATGCCTTTTTGCAGGGATGGAGGGCTACAGGTGTGGAACACTGCATACAGTTAAGACTCAATTATGGGGTTGGTTAATTTTGCAGAATCATTCTTCCTTCTCTTTTTTACTCTTTGTTACAAATTATGGCCCTCTGGGCAGAGGGTGGAGATCTATATTTGGAAAATAAGGAAATGAGAGAACAAAAGACATCAATAAAAATTAAAACTCAAAAATGTTATACATAACTTTAGAAAGAGTCGTTTCAATTGAGTGATGAGATCTAATCCTTCTTTCACAGGACCAAATTTCAAATACTTAGGTATCTAGCTGGATGGAGCACATTGGGTCTGGAGTCAGGAATAACTGTGTTCTAATCCAGCTTCAGACAATTACCAGGTGTGTGACCCTGGGCAATAACTGCTGTCTGCCTCAGTTTCCTCAACTGAAAAATGGAGATAATAATAGCATCCTCCTTCCCGGGTTGCTATGGAGACCACATGAGATAATATTTGTAAAGTGCTTACTTAGTTCAGTGACTAGCACCTAGCAGGCACTTAATAGATGCTTGTTCCTTCCCTTCTCCACTTGAAGATAACCATCCACAATTTCTTCAACCAAACTTGTGGCATGATATGGAGGACCACACCACCTTGGTCACCCTCCCCTGGACACTCTCCTAACTTGCACAGTCTTTTCTAAAAGGTGGTTCCCAGAACCCATCACATTACTGCCTCTATGGCCTGAAAAAGGCAGAGTACAGAAGAGCTATCGCTTCCTCAGTCATAGGATCCTAGGTTTAAACCTTGAAAGGACCTTACAGGTCATGTAGTCCTAGGTGGTGGAGTGTGAATAGAGTCAGGAAGACCTGAGTTCAAATTCAGATTTAGACACACTTACTAGCTTTGTGAATTTGAGCAAATGATTTATCCTCAGCCTTCTCACCTGTAAAATGGGAATAATAATAATAATAATATCACCTACCTCCTAGGGTTATTGTGAAGATCAAATGAGATATTATGGGTAAAGTGCTTAGCACAGTGCCTGGCATGTATTAGATGCTATATAAATACTAGGTGTTACTACTACTACTACTACTACTACTAACTACTACTACTACTACTACTACTAATCTAATCCCTTCATTTTACAGAAGAAAAAAACTTAGAGGTTTAGTGACTTACCCAAGATCATACAGATAGCAAGTGACAGAGACAGGAGGATTGGAACACCAGTCTTCTGGTTCTACTGTGCCATGTTGCCTAGGAGATAGGACAGAGATTCTTAACCTGTACATAGACTATTGATAGATTTCAGGGGAATCATAAACCTAGATGGGGGGAAAAATCCATCTTTATTTTCACTAATCTCTAACTGAAATGGGGCATTTCCTTCCATTATTTTAAAAAATATATATTATCCTGAGAAGGGATCCATAAGCTTCCCTAGCCTGCCAGAGGAGCCCATGACCTCAAAAAGGCTAAATACCACAGAGATAGGAGGTCCAGGTTCTAGGCCTTTCACTAATTAAACAAGTCACTTAATTCCTCTAAGTGGATTTCCCAGTTAATCAACTGAGGTAACTTCACAGGGTTCTTATGAGCATTAGATAAGATAATCAGTGTGAAAGTGCTTTGGAAATCATGAAGCCTCCAACATGTGAGGTCTTAATATTTAAAAGGGCAAGGTAATCAGATATTGGAACAATATCTTAGTTGAAAAACTTTAACAAGGGGCAGCTAGGTGGCACAGTGGATAGAGCACCGGCCCTGAAGTCAGAAGGACCTGAGTTCAAATGGGGCTTCAGACCAAAACACTTGATGCTTACTAGCTGTGTGACCTTGGGCAAGTCATTTAACCCCAATTGCCTTTAAAAAAAAAAAGGAAAAGAAAAACAGTAACAATCCCTAATCTTAGGCAATTCTTAAGATGTCCACTCTCACTAATATTGCAGATCAGCCACCCATCCACACCTTCTCCTGGGGGGGGGGGGAGGTTCTTGTCCATACCTTCCCATAAATCCTTTACCAGAAGTCCACCCAAAGTAGTGGATGCGTTCCTCTAGAGCTCTGGACATTCCACGAGTTCCAGTACTGCCAAGGTGGGTGATGCAGTGTATAGCACATTTGGCCTCAAGTCAGGAAGTTGCATGACCTTGGGCAAGTCATTTAAACCTCTGTTTGCCTCAGTTTCCTCAATTACAAAATGGGGATACTAACACCTATCTCCCAGGGTTGTTGTGAAGACCAAATGAGATCATAATTATAAAGTGCTTACAACAGTACCTTAGAACATAGAAAGCACTATATAAATGTTAGCTGTTATCATCATCATCTTTCCTTCTCTGTATATGACTAGCCCACTTCTTTTTTCCTGGTTATACCTCTCTTGGACAATATATTTTATGCTACTTTCATCTTTGGCAGTAGCTTGTTTATTCCCATGCTGCTCTAAGAGATGGTGGTATTTAGAACTCAATGAAGATTTTACCATTGTCCCTTTTAAATTTCAATTCCCAAACTTATTTGGCCCACCATCCCCTTTAAAAAAAAATGACTTGGCATCACCCTAGAAATCTACTTTCTTTAAACCTTAAATGGTGGTTGGTTTTTTTTAAATTTTGTGTCATTTCAAAAAACATATAATTTTTTTGAAATGACGCAACTTATATTTAATAAATTTTTCTTGTGTTGAAATTTTGATGATGCATGTAATCACATAGTATTATATAGTAAACAGTTCATTACATGCACATATTCCTGTCTATGCATACTGGAATTCTTGGTGATGCGAGCTGGCTTGCCCACCAACATTTGCTTGTCAAGACCTGCTGGCAGACTTGACCACTGATCGATTATAACTTGCATTTTTGTGTTTATTTGTAAAATAATGTAATCACTATGATTTCAACTCTGTTACACAACAGATGCAACATGTGAGAACAGTTTTTCAAAGTTTTCTTCTCTTCTTTCCTTATGCTTCCACTGCATATTTTCTTATATGCATACTTCCTTATTTTTATTCAATGCCCCCCAATTGCATCCAAGGTTACTACTGTGTCCCCCTTCCATCATTCTAGCACCCCTCAGGGGGTGGTATTGCCCACTTTAGGAACCTATTCAGCCCAGATATTCTAGCCTATTGAGATTTTCTCAATTTTATTCTCTCATTTAACATGTTAGCTAATCCTCCCACCCTTGAGTTTTTATGCAAATTTGATGAGGATAGTCATTGATACCTTTAGCTAAATCTTTTGCGGGGGGGGGGGGGGGGGGGGGGGGGGGGGGGCCGGAATGAGAGAGGAGGCATGGTAGAATGAAAAGAATGTTGGATTCTGAACTCCAAAAAAATTGAAGTTTAAGGCCCATACCTGCCATTTATCCGGTTTTGTTACTTTGAATAAATCATTTATTTTAACCTCTCCGTGCCTCAGTTGACTTATTTGTAAAGTGAGGGGACTGGAATCAATGACCTCTAGAGTCTCTTCAGGCTCAAAATCAAGGGCCAAGCAAATACTCCTGGGGCACTCAACTGAAGGTCCTCTTTAAGGTTGGCATGGAACCACTAATGACTATTCTTTGAGTCAACCATTTCTGAATCCACCTAGCCCTATTACCATCTGGTTCACATTTCTATGTTTTGTTTACAAGAAGGAAAGGCTAGAGACCTGGACCTGTGATTTCATTGGTATAAGATCTCTTACATTAGAGAACTCTACCAACACAGCTCAGCTTCTTCTTTGCAATTTATAGTCTTAGAGAGCTGCCAAGTACACGTCAGAAGCATGATTTGAATGCAGGTCTTCCTGGCTTTGAGGCTGTCTATCTACTATGCCACATGGCTTTTTGAGAAACTTTTCTCATGAAATACTTTGTCAAAAGTTTTGTTATACTCTGTCCAAAGGGCCATAAAAATGTGCATACCCTTTAACCCAGTAATAGCACTTTTAGGGCTACATCACAAAGAGATGATACAAATGGGAAAAGGACCCACACGTACAAAAATATTTATAGCAGCTCTTT